CTGGTGCCCTAGGCTGAGCCCTGCCGGTACCTCAGCCTCTAACACGGCCTCGACCTCTCCCTCTGTCCTGCGTGGGAGCTACTGCTGGGGGCTCGGGCTACTGATCGATGGATGAGGAAGCGCATGTTCTCGCCATCTGCGAAAGAACAGAATAAAAATTCAGTTAGTATTGAGAAACCAAACCGCATGACAAGAAAGAACAAATGTGAAGTTTTTTCCTAACTTTGTAGCCTCTGGGGATAAATATAGACATCTCTGTACCGATCCCTCAGACTCTACTAAGCTTGTCCGTGAATTGTGAGAACTATGTAACCTAGAGCTCTGATACCAACTTGTCATGACCCGAATTTTCCACCCGCAGGAGTTGTGATGGCGCCTACTCGTAGAAGCTAGGCAAGCCAGGAAATATAGAAAATTTAATCTCTTTCATTTTTTTGTTTTTACTCTTTTTAACAAATTGAATTAATAGGTGATCAACATTTAAATAATAGCGAAAGATGATTTTAAGCGGAAGACTTAAACTAATATAATACCAAAATCAGTACGAAAATGCCAACATGCATCTCTACCCAGAAACCAGTGTCACAATATCCATGGACTGTCTATGGATACTACATACAAATGTATGAACAAGGAAATACAGTCTGTCTCGGAAACAAGTAGAAACAGAACATATAAATAGATAGAAGAGAACGTTGGGCATGCGGACGCCTGCAGGACTACCTCGGGATCTCTGAGTGGACTGAAGGCTGGCTCCCTAAGTGCTACTGTCCAAATGCTGCTCCGGTATATGGTCCAAATGTTGCTTCGGTATCTGCACATAGTGCAGAGTGTAGCATCAGCACAACCGACCCCATGTGCTGGTAAATGTCTGGCCTAACCCCGGCGAGGTAGTGACGAGGCTAGGACCGGACTCCAGATAAACCTGTGCAGTTATATAATATACATCAAAAAAATAAACAGGAATAAACAATGTAAATGGGAGGGGGGTACATGCTACGGGGAACATATCAAATCCAACAAAAACTAAAGAGTGATAAGAGAGAACAGTTCAAGTGCTACAACAAACAATAATAACACTGTTGCGGCGTGCAATCCGATCCCTTATCATTTAACACTGTTGCGGCATGCAACCCGATCCATTTATATTACTGTTGCGGCGTGCAACCCGATCCAATATTACATTGTTGCAGTGTGCAACCCGATCCAATATATAATAATGTTGCCGCGTGCAACCCGATCCAATATATAATAATATTGCGGCGTGCAACCCGAACCAATATATTTATATACCTTAAAATCAACCATATCACGAGTCCCGGCAAGGGATCAACAATAAACTACACTATCCCATCAAGGGAATTCAACAGTAAAAGTATATATGTCCCGGTAAGGGAGAATCAGCTATAATCAATCTTAACTCAATCCCGGCGCATCTCAGCTAACACCAATACTCAATCATAATTACTTTCCACGAAAATAAACTAAATCCTTGCTCTATATCGAGAATCACCAATTAAAGCATTCGTAGTATCATTTAAGAACACAACAAATATCAATTTAAGTCTCATAGTCATGCTCGACACCAATGCATAGATACTCGTCACCATGCCTATACGTCGTACTCAACAAGAAGCAAATTGCAAATACGACACAGCTCATAATCTCTCAAGCTAAGGTTAGACAAAACACTTACCTCGAACTTCCACGACCAACTCAAGGCTCAAACACCGCCTTTCCTTTCGAATTCTGCTCCAAATCGATTGTATCTATACATAATCGACTTCATAACATCAATAAACGCTAAACAATCTAATTCCAATGCTTAATTATAGATTTCTAATCATTCTTCCCAAAAAGTCAAAAATTGACCCCGGGCCCGCCTTCTCAAAACACGAGGTTCAGACCAAAACCTGATCACCCATTCACCCACGAGCCCGAATATATAATTTATTTTCAAATCCGACCCCAAAACAAGGTCAAATTCCCAAATAATCCAAAAGCTCTAACTCTACTCATATCCCTAATTTTCTACCCTTAATCACATGTTTTAGGCCTAGAAATCTAGTGGGTGTTGATAAAAATGGAAGAAAACAAGTTAAAGATTACTTACCCAAGATGTTACGGTAAAGAAGTTCTTCAAAAAATCGCCCAAGAGGTGTGGAGAAGATGAAGTTTGTGAAAAATAATGAAAATTTCATAATGTGTTTTGTTTTTGGAACTTAAAATAACTGGGCGAAATTTCTCGTCGCGTTCGCGATGGGTTAAGCCTGCTAGGGCTTCGCATTCACAGAAGGCGGCTCGTGTTCGCGGAGAAATGACCCCTCGAGCCTTCGCATTCGCGTCCATGTGGTCGCGTTCGCGTAGGTTTAATGCCCCACCTCCTGCCCAGGCTCAATTAGCCTTCGCGTTCGCGTTACCAGGCCCGCTTCGCGAAGGAGGACCCCCCAACACCTGGCGTTCACGACCTGGGTTACGCGTTTGCATAGAAGGAATTTCCTTCAGTATAATTAACACATCGCGTTCGCGAGGGTCCTCCCGCGAATGCGAAGAAGGAAATATCAGAATACCAACAGCTGAAAACCTACAACTTTTTAAGAGTTTAAAACTTTCCGAAACTTACCCGAGCCCTCAGGGATCCATACCAAACATACGTACTAACTCGAAAACACCATATGAACTTATCCATGCGATCAAATCGCCAAATTAATGTCATTAACATCGAATTAAACCTCAAAATCAATGAATTATTTCAAACTTCTTAAAACATCAAATTTTGCAATTTAGGTCTGAATCACGTCAAATGACATCCGTTTCTTACCAAACTTCACAGAGTTATCTTAAATCACATATATGACCTGTACCGGGTGCCAGAACTAAAATACGGGCCTGATACCAACATGTTCTAATTAAAAATTTATTTCAAATTCCTTTAAACAATTTCAGAAAATAATTTTTTTTAAAATTTATTTCTCGGGCTTGGGACCTCGGAATTCAATTCCGGGCATACTCCCAAGTCCCATATTTTCCTACGGACCCTCCGGGACCTTCATATCAGGGGTCCGAGTTCGTTTACCCAAAACGTTGATCGAAGTCAAATTAACTCATTTTATAGTCAAAACTTATTATTTTTCATAGATTTTTCATATTTAGACTTTCCGGCTACGCGCCCAGACTGTGCACGCAAATTGAGGTAATACTAAATGAGGTTTTCAAGGCCTCAGAACATAGAATTCAATTTAAAAGCAAGTGATGACCCTTTTGGGTAATCACATGAGCCATCGCGTTCGCGAAGAAGGAGACGCGTTCGCGAAGAAGGAAAAATGGTCAACGTCAATTTGTGCTTCGCGAACACGAAGGTTTGACCGCATTCGCGATTAAGGAATTGCTTAGGTAGATTTTGTAAAACCCAAAATCGAGTGTTTGAGCCATAATTAATATTTTGGACTTGGGAGCTCGGGAGATTGGGATTTTTGAAGAGATTTTTACCTGGGCGATTTGGGTAAGTGATTCCTAGTCGGTTTAGACTAATTTCTATGAACCTACACTTAAATTCATCCTTTAATTTCAAAATTTTGGTGGAAATTGGGGAAAAAGTTCTTAGACCAAGAAATTGAGTTTTGATTGGGGATTTGACATCGGATTTGGATAATTTTGGTATGGTTAGACTCGTGAGAGTGTGAGAATTCTGAAAATATAAATTTTACCCGATTTCGAGATGTGGGCCCGAGGGACGTTTTGGTCATTTTACTTAATTTTGCGTATTAGCTTAGAATTTCTTTGTAGAATCAGTTACTTGAAGTGTTATTTATATTATAAAATTGAATTGAATAGATTTGGGCCATTTGGAGTCGAGTACTCGTGGCAAGAGCGTGATTTCAGATTATTGAGCCGGTTCGAGGTTACTGGCTTGTCTAACCTTGTGCGTGGGACCATCCCCTTAGGATTCAGTATATTTGATAGTTGAAATACCTTGTACGTGAGGTGACGAGTGCGTACTTGAGCTAATTGTTGAAAATTCGGTTTTCTTTAAGTAATTTTAATTGTGTTCTTTTTCCTGTTTTCATTTTACATGCAATTTAAACCTGTTGTTAGCTTAGAAAGAGCATGTCTAATTGACTTAACTATTTATTTGCTTAAACGTCCTTAATTGCATTATGTGAAGCATGTTAGGCTAGAATTAATTGTTTACTTGGTACGAAATTAACGTTAAATTGAGTATTCTTGTGTTGCTTCTGTATGTTTTTAATTTGGGACTATCGGACGGCATCCCAAGAGATCCCTAGTATGTATTTATGATCTGGATTGAGGTGCGGGATACCAAGAGATCCCTGACACGTATATTGAGTGTTGGCATCCAATTTTGTCCCTCCTTTCTTCCAAACTATTTCTTTAAGCTTCTAATATTACTAATAATTTAAGAATTTTTATTTTACAGTTGTTATCCCAAAATAGACCTAATTAGGATAACTATCCCTATTATTATTATTGTTATTGTTGTTATTGTCTTCGTTGTTGTTGTTGTTATTATTATTATTATTATTATTAATTTTATTTAATATCATTCTTATCGGCTTTTGCGAAAAGCGTATCAATTTCTTTCATATAATCACATAGTAGTATTTATTTCAATTTTATACTTTACAATATTTATTCTTTATTTCACAATTAATGTAGTAGTTATTTTAACAAATTAGATGCTAGAAAATCTTATATTTTGATAAGTCGCCTCGAATTAATTAATTAATATTAATATATGCTAATGTGTTAATTAAGAGATTTAATAAGAATTAGACGCCTAAAGAAAGATTTGAAGAAGGAAGTGGGTTGTCCAATATCTAGTCACCTAAAATTCAATACAATCTCTAGCCCTAAGAGTAGGCCCAGTTCGGCCAAGCTTATGCCCCAAACCCGCCTGAAGCTCAGCCCAATCGGCCCAACACCCCTTCAAATATTTTATTCCTTAATTTCTAACCTAGTAAGAAAACACAGCAGCGCCTCTGTCCACCTTCCTTTGTCACCTTCTTCATTTTTAGAAACCTCCAAGCCTTGACACCTTTTAATCAAATGATGTTGCATCATTTTTGTGCAAATACATCTCTTTCTTTGCTCTTCTGCATTTGTGCTCGATAACCTGCAAATCTTTAATGTCTCAGTCAAAAATCTCACCAATTCGGGCAAGAACAGAGGAAATCACGTGAATCCGTCCAAACCTCCAACGTTCGGATTCAAACGGATATGTTAACCGAAATTTAAAATTTGAATTTGAAAAATCCCTCTCAAGAACCCTAACTTCTATCTATAAATACCGGCTCTGAAACTCATTTAAGGGGAGCCCTAGAGCCGCCCACTTTTACCCCAAAGTCGAGAGTTTTCAGCCACCTCTATTAATGCATTTCCTTTTCCTCTAATTAAAAAACAAAGTTCTCTAGCTCTCTTTGTATTTTTAGCCATTACAATGGTTTATTTGCTTATTCTGGCGACTACCGATCGTCTAAGGTAGAGAGTTCGAAGTCGGAGTTCAATAGTGCATCTAAGACCCCGCCTCGGTTCGCTGCCCGCAAAAAGGTCCGTAACTTTCAATCATTCTTTTCCCTTGTTACCGTTTTAGGTTCATAATAAATGTTGGTTTGAAGACATGCAATTATTTACTGCATAGAAATCGCGACATAGGTGTCGTTTATGTAATAATCTTGTGTATTGAAGCTCATTTGTGCTATACTTGTGTTATTTAAACAAGAATGATATATTTGGATCAATATGTGATGTTTCAGTTATTAGATAATTTATTAAGCAATTAGGATTAACCACAGCTTTCCTACTTTAATATTATGCAATAGAAGTATTTTGTCTTAATGTCGATTAACAAGTGAAGTTGCATTCTGTCTTTTGGGCATACTATAAGTTGCCTTCTTAACTAAAATCGAGATTAAAGTTCAATAGGAGTTTGTATTAAAACTTACTTTTCTTTAAACAATGTTTAACGTAGGAACATTTTTCCCTTTAGCTTGTTCCTTTAAGAATGATATTTGAGCTATTGATTTATTCAAGTCAAAACTGACTCTTAAACCTATTACCCCTTACCCCTTTGAAATGTTTTAATGAACATAATGTTTCTTTAAAAGTTAGTTTCATCTTTTCGAAGTTTCAATATTTTCCTTCAAAATTATTTCGTGTCATATGTTGGTCTACTTTGAACCAAATTCTAGGCTCAAAATGATTTTCAATTTTTGAGTCTTTTAAAATAAAGAATTAGTCAGTGTCGCCTTATTATGTTGTCCCTAATTTAATTTAGTTAATCATTCTCCCTTCCAATAATTTTTCTAAGCAACAGAGTTTTCAATTAATTAACCTAAGTTTGGCCGGTTAACTGTAATTAGCGGATCATATAGAATGCTTTTACAACCTTCCCTATAGGATTAATTAGAACCTTTACCCATAATCTTAAGTTAAGCATGCCTTAAAATAGAGTTAACTTTAAGCATTACTTAGCTAAAATTGGTGTCCTAATTTACCATTAAAATAATTAGGTGACGATTCTCTTTAATTAATTAAATCTCAGAAGTACCAATATGTTATACTCTAATTTGACCCGTTTTAAAATGGGGTATAACAGCTTGGCGACTCTGCTGGGGCCTTATTATGTTGGATTAAAATTAATTTGATCCGATAATTAATTAAATTAATAATAAAATTTAATTTGTGTGTTTTTTATTGTTATGATACATTTTTATATACTTTATATGTTCATACATTTTACATTCTTATCTTCTCGAATTAATAATAATAATAATAACCACCAAATGTTCCGCGCTTAGTGCTCTTTAATGATTCTAGAGCGCCGTTTAAGTATTTATTTAGGTTCAGATTTCTCCTAGGTCCACTCCAATTCTTAGAATATAATTAAGATGTCCTTTTATTTTTATAAGGTTTGCCCGTAAATCCTTTAACAAGCTTGGTTCGTCATGAAATTTCTCGATATTCGTGCCTTAAAGCATTAAGAATTTTTTAAACAACAATGAACATTTCACTCCCTATAGCAAGATATCATTCTGATAACTAGGAATTTTGACATGTTTTATGCTCCTTCCTACTTAAGCTTTGATTATAAATTCTTACAAAGTAGTCCCAAAAGGCTCATAAGTTGTCTTGATTGCAGGCTTGATCGACAAAGTGACGAAATGTCAAAGATCGGCTCAAAGGAGTGAAACCTGCTCAAGTACCAAAGAAAAGGCAAACTCAGGACAAAAAGGCCTAGTGCGGTCGCACTACACTTTGTGCAGTCCGCACTAGGGGATTCAGAGAAGTAGCAAATTAAGCTTCAAGGCAGTGCTGGCTGCATCCGATCTTGCGCACTCCGCACTGAAGGCTTCGCGACCGCACTACTATTTTGTGCAGTCCGCGGAGGAGAAGATTAGAGAGATGTCCAGTGCCAACATCAAACCCATGTGGTACGCGGTCATGTTTGTGCGGACTGCGCTAGTTGCCTCCGCGGCCGTGGTTCGCGGAGCCTGAGTTTAGAGAGCCAAGACCTAGTGCGGCCGCAGTCCATTTTGTGCGGTCCTGAGTTTAGAGAATGAAGTTGTGCTCGTGAGAAGCTGTGTAGCCATTTTTGGCATCTTAACTTAGATTTAACAATAGATTCTCTGTAAATACATTAGCTTTTAATTAATTTCTTCATCTATTTTTTTATTTTCTTCTTCAAGCAGGAGTAGCTAAACCCATTAGCTAGTGTTGTTAGATTCAGGTGTTTGTTATTTGGGTCAATTTTATGGTTTAATCTATGAATTGGTGGTTGCAAACTGGTTTTTGCTAAGTTGACTTGGGCTCTTCTTGAGAAAGAGAGCCTAAGTCTCCAAAATTGACCCAACAAGGAATTGGGATGGACTCGAGAGAGTAATTACCCAACTTGAACCCTAGTTGCTTGAGCTAATTTGCCTACCCATTTGGTCTCGAGAAAGTCAATTGGGCAAAATCACTCTCTCTACCAAGAGGTGTGAGTGGATAAAATTGTGCAACAGTTATAGCATATTTCCCCAATCATGTCAATCGAACCTTAGAAGTATTTACTCGTCAATTAGCCACCTAGGTGAAAGTACTAGCCTTTCTACCTAGGTGTAACTCTAGCAATTTTCTCATTAGCATAATTTAGTTCTAATTAGTAGTTGATAATATTAGTTTGTTAAAGAAAAATCAAAAGATGTTTGGAAGTGACATTTGGAGCAATTACACGACTCTAGTCTAGATAGATACTCGACTCCATTCCTATCTCCCTATGAAAACCGATCCCGACCCTCATATCGGGTAAAAGCTATTGCGACCCTCTCTTCCTACTTTTAAGTAGTGTGGAGTAGGTAGCGATCACATTCCTACTTCTTTTAAAAAAACTATTCTACCTATTTTAACCTTCGTGCCAATTCTCATTTACAAATTCGTAGATGTCCAAACTTGCACAATCTACCAAGAAATAGAAGGCCACTATTTGGTCAATTTGCATCGTCAAATTATTTCCAATATTTTTACCTATTCAATTCAAGTGTCTACATCGTCTTATTTCGGGTCATCGAGATTAATCTTCACGCACCCGTTAATTCTAAGTTTTGGCACATGAGTCGAGGTACTATCCCACAAGTCTCAAAACGGTTGATACCGTATTTCAGGCCTCAACAACTTTACCATTTACCAAAACTAAAAATTATAGATTTTAGATTCTTTTCATCGACTACCATATCCTTATCAATTATTTTGATCCCGAGCTTGTCTATATTCAAATAACAACAAATTATTTTCTAAATATCAAAATCACACATCTTTGGCCTCTCTTAAACATTGTAATATTACAAGACCCGATCTCGTCGGTTTCTTAGGCATGCATTCTCAAATATTCTATCCTTAGCCTTTAATATTTATCTACTCCATAGTGACTATATATACCTTTTTTCAAAGAGGTTGACTTGAGTTGAACATCAAAGCAACACAAGTTCAAGGACAATATGGCCAACCAAATCACAATGATTGACCTAGATGCGGATAAGTTTGAGTACAAGAAATCCAAATCATACCAAGATAAGATTGCTAAGCTTGAAGCAAAAGTAGCAAATGGAGCAAGAAATTTATAGCGTCAAGGAAGTGATAGCCGATCTTAAGAACTCGTCCAACGCAAAAGGCTAACTCTCCATTTCGTACAACTGCATCTCCTACTTATGAGTGTAACGCCAGTTTTTTCAAATCTGCACTCTTGCTTGCTAGAAGGGCATTCTAAGCTGCCAACAATGGGTATGAAGAAGAAGCATGATTAAAAAGGACTCTATCACAGAATTTGAAAGATTATCATTCCCTACCCACTTTTCCTTACGCATGCAGTAAGGCTCAGTCTCATTATGGAAAAGAAAGTGGGGTAAATTTTTAGCACGCAGGATGAGTATGCTCGAAAGGGACATCATCCCCTGGTGTAATAATCAAAGCTTCCTAAAGATTGAGGCAATTTTTGAAAAACTTCTGGAGTCATGCAAGGAAAAAACTTGTGCTAGAGCTAAAACTTTGATGTTCGACATGAGTCAACCTTTTACAAAATTTCAAGTCAATTCGCTTCCATGTCAACAAGTCTCGAGCGCTGAAGCCCTCTAGATAACTATTCATTCTCGTCCATCCATTTTGCAACATAGACCATCGTTTCTAGTTTAGGGCTCCTACTTAAGCATAACATGAATTAATCTATATAATCATATACTCTATTATTTTTATGCATTTATTTCATTATGACGATACGCTAACACTTTTTTTGCATAGTTTTATTTTTTTTCCTTTAAAGGTTGCCTAGCATTGAACACTTTTTTGGCTGCGAATTTACATAAAGGACAGGCTATATGGCAGACTATTTTGAAGAATTCAGTACCAGTATAGGACTATTGCAATCAAAGAATGATGGCACTAAGGCGAATGTGGTGCAAAGGAAAGTGTTGGTCAATTTAGGAAGCACTTTCAACCTTCTTCCAAATACAACCTCCAGCTCCAGCTCCACCCAAAATATTTGCTTAGCCATATCTCCTTACCCAATTCCTACTTATACAATCTCTCCACAAATGCCAATAACCTGCAATCCCAATCAAGTCATGATGATTCCTAATACCCAACTTCCTATAACCACAACTCCATTTAAGGAGGACAAGCAAAACCAACTAGCTGTATGCTCATATAAGAGACCTGAAAAAGAAACCAAGCAAATTTGCCGCGAAAATTTGGAAAAAGAACTATATGATTTGAAGAAAGTCATTGAGAAGAATTGCAGTCGAGAAATTATATCAAAGTCTACGATATGAAGACTTGTGCTTGCAGCCAGATATTGAACTGCCACTAGGGTATCAACTACCAAAGTTCAATACTTTCAGTGGGAAAGGAAATCCCATCGCTCATTTAAAGGACTATTGTAGCAGGTTACTTGGTATTTGGCACAATGAGTCCATTCGAATGAAGTTATTTATCCAAAGCTTATCAGGACCTGCACTTATTTGGTACACAAAACAAGATTTTAGCAAATGGCACACGTGCGATGATATGGCTCACGATTTTGTAAAGCAATATGAGTTCAACCTTGGAGTCGATCCAGACATGCATAGCTTATACAAAATCGATAAAATGCCACATGAATCTTTTCATGATTATGCAATCCGGTGGAGAGTTGAAGCTTCGAATTTGAACCTTTCGCTATCCGAGAAAGAGTTGGTCTCAACTTTACAAAATGGCATAAATTATGAAAAGCTGGCTACTGCGAACGTGCATAATTTCTCATACCTAATTAGAGTCGGGGACTTCCTAGAAAGCGGCATCAAAGAAGGAAAGGTTAGCATGCAAACTATCAATCATGCTTTACAATCAAAGAAGGAAAATGCCTCAGTTGCCATGACTATACAATGCCATCATGATCATCAGCTCTTGAAAAACCATGCCATATCTGATGCCTGTAACATGCATATCCAGCCTCCTCGCCAACAAAGCATTCAACATCAACCACAAGTCGCTTCTCACTAATCAAAAAAAATAAGCCCCGCGACTTCACGCCTTTGACTGAATCAATCTCTAGTATATTCCCTCGATTGAATGCCTCAGGAATTATGCAACCAAGAAAACGAAGGAGTTTTGACCCTTCGCATCCACTATTCGACCCGTCAAAGTATTGTGCTTATCATTCAAACACTCAAGGTCATGATACAGAAGAATGCCTAGCATTAAAACATAAGATTCAAAATTTAATTGATGCTAACAAATTGCAAGTGCACCTACCAGTTGGAACAAATATCTCAAATGCAAATAGCGGCAGCACAAGCAATATACCGAGCATGGTTGGGCATTCGAAGAAGAAACGTCGTTTGGACTAGTTCACCTTGCATTGCTGGCATTATCATTTTGCAATCATCATATAAGTGACTATTTTTGTAATCATGCCTTGCTTTTGTAAACAAACTATGTTACGTCCTGATTCCTATTTAAGAGGGGATACGTAGGGCGAGTTCGGTCTCATCATAATAAAAATTCTATTTACCCCAAAAGCCAAAATCGGGGCAGATTTTGCAGAAGGATCCTCATCATTCAACAAAGCAGAAATGAAATCTCGAGCTACATTATTTGTTACAAGGACAACAGTAAATTCCAGAATGCCATGGCAACAAGTTGCAGATTCAAAGCCAAACTTTGATATTCAATGCAAGGCACCACTTTCTTTTATACTAATGAATTTTCTTTGAGTAATGCAGGGGCATATTTTAGCTATTCTTGAACAATATTATACACTATCGCAAAGCTCAGCATCAAATTAGAAGTTTCAAGATTCATGCAAAGTAAAAGATAAACCCAAGCCAGCGCAAATCAAACTTTGAAACTTATAATTTTTCTTTGAGTGCAGGAATTTATTAATAGCAAAACTTCAGTATGAAGATCCAGCGATTTTTAGCATTGCAACAGGAATATTCCCTACTACAAAGGAATTTCATCAAGCTTTCTACATCGCACCATTTGCTATTACAAAATCATTGCACCAAGCTCTCTGTATTACACCATCAATATATGTTACTTCGAAAGAACCATGCCATGCTCTTCGCACTGCACCAATCTGGTAATTTTAAATCAAGCATCACATTTAGGCTTGTCCGCCTTTAATAGGATATTTAGGCTCGACCGCCTTTAATAGGATGTTTAGGCACATTTTGCCTTTAATTGAAATTTAGGCTTATCCACCTTCAAATTGATATTTAGGCTCGTCCGACTTTAATAGGACATTTTAGGCACATTTTCCTTTAATTAAATATTTAGGCTCATCCGCCTTCAATAGGATATATCGGGCGTATCCGCCCTCAAATAGGATATATCGGGACTATCCGCCCTCAAATAGGATATATCGGGTCCATCCGCCCTCAAATAGGATATATCAGGTCTATTCGCCCTCAAATAGGATATATCGGGTCTATCCGCCCTCAAATAGAATATATCAGGTCCATCCGCCCTCAAATAGGATATATTGGGTGTCACGACCCCAAATACCGATCGTGATGGCGCCTATCACAATACTAAGCAAGACAACCAATCAACTAACCACAACCCATTTTCCTTTAGTAATAAACCATTTTCTAACACAAGTTTTAAATGCTGAAGTCATTATAAGCGTTAAAATAACAGAAATATGTGGAAGGTCAAAATAACAATAACTA